CTCCCCCCAGTTACCAAAATACCCATCCCCCTAGTTATCAAAATACTCACCATCCTATCTACCAAACTCCCCCTCTAATTCACCAGACTCCATCTCATCACTACTGAAACGCCGCCCCCAATTGTGCCAACGTTCATGCAAAGTACCAAACCCCTCCTCCAATGTACCAAGCCCCAGCTCCGCTTTACCAAAATACACCCCCGAACTACCAAGCTCCATAGCCAAATTACCAAACCAATCCATACCCAAGATATCAAGCCCCCCATCCAAACGCTCCAAATTATCATCAAATGCCTCCCTTTCAACAAGGCAATTATGATCCCCCCCGTCCTAGGTTTGAGAAGAATCCCGCTAGAATTTTAACTCCGCTAATTGAAAGCCGAACAAAGTTATTCGAACGATTAACTGTAGCATGATACATTCATCCAGTAGGGCCCAAGCTAGTTGACACTAGCTCAAGGTTTTAAAGACCTAATCAGAGGTGCACATATCACTCCAATGGTGTTGGACATGATACAGGACTGTGTCAACCTCAAGTACTTGATCCAAGATCTTATTGACTAGAAAGTGGTCTCTCTCCAGACAGTTGCGCCCAATGTCAATAGTAACCCTTTGCCAAATCATGGAGGCATCACTATCAATATGATAGAGACGGATGATGATTGGTGCGTGATAAAAGCAATAGTTCCGATCGCTCCTGATGAACTGAAAAGGGCTGTAGCTTCGTTGTGCATTAGAGAGAAGGAAGAGTTTGTGATTCTGACACCCGAGAAGGATGTTGCCTTGGTGCCAAGAGAAACTCTCTCCCAACCAAGGATTGTGATTGAAACGGCTACTACCTAGGGTATGGCTAGATCCGACATAAACTACACACCAGAAGAGTTAGCCCAGGGGGTACAAAAAAAAGATCAGTCTAAAAGGCCGATTAGTAAAGCTAAAGCAGAAGAGTTCTGGAGAAAGATGAAACCAAAAGATTACTCGATCGTGAAGCATCTAGAGAAAACACCAGCTCAGATTTCTGTATGGGCTTTGCTGATGAGTTCACAACTGCATAAGCAAGCTTTGATGAAGTCTTTGGATGACACTTATGTGCCTGTGGGTACCAACAGTGATAATCTTGCAGCCGTGATACACTAAGTCGTTCGAGGACACCGCATCAGTTTCTGAGGCGAAAAACTGCCCTTTGAAGGCAAGATGCACAATAAAGCTCTACACGTCACCATTTTGTGATGATACAAACTTATAAATCGCGTCTTGATCGATGACGGATCCGGTCTGAATATTTGCCCACTTTTGACTTTGAAGCAGGTAAACTCGACTTGGGAAAGGTGCACCAGAACCAAGTTAATGTGAGGGCTTTCTATGTAGTTCAAACAGACATGTTGGGTGCAGTGAACTTTGATATTCAGATGGGTCCTACGGAATTTAATGTCAAGTTTCAAGTGTTGAACATCAATACCAGTTACAATTTGCTTCTCGAAAGACCATTTATCCACAGGGCTGGGGCTGTGCCTTCTACCCTTCACTAACTAATGAAATTTGTTTTGAAGGACCAGTAATTGGTCATTCATGGTGAAGGGAACCATTCCAATGGGTATGCTCCGATCGTCGATGAGGTCTCTTGAGGTTGTGATTTCTACAGGTGGAGCTGGTAAATGCCACCGGTGATGATTTGGCTCCATACCCCCATATGCCTTTTGTGTATAAGATGATTACTACTGTTATGCTCCGAAGCGGGTTCGAACCAGGTTTCGGATTGGGGAAGCATTTTCAAGGAATTGTCGAGCCTATCCAAATTCCCTCCAAAGGAGCAAAGTTTTGTTTGGGGTATGTCCCCACAGATGATGAAGCAGAGATGAAGAACAACAATGCTGATCAAGCATTGGTCTGGCCAATTCCTCGTTTGTACCAATCATTTCCAGTACGAGAGTATGTTGACGATGGTGGTCTCGGGGGAGAAATTTGGGGCCTTTTTTAGGAGATTGATGCGGTCATCAAGGAAGAGGCTGGGATATCAGGCATCCGTGATGCAGAACCTAAGGAGCAATTGCAAAAATTGGACCTCCACACCACTCTTGATTCCCCGCTCATCTGGGTAGAAAGGACATGTGTTTATATTTGTTTTTAAAATGAGGAAGGTGATGACGAGTTCGAGGAATATGAAGAAGAAAATGTGGTACCCAAACATGTTGCTAAAGAGTTTTTACAATTCTAGAATCAACACAAGCCGAATCTAGAAGAAATTGAGACTGTGAATCTCGGAGATGAGGAATGTGTTAAAGTAGTCAGAATCAGTGTCCATCTGACCGAAGCTCAAAGAAGGGACCTAGTTCATTTGCTTAGAGAATACATTGACGTATTTTCCCGGTCTTACAGGGATATGCCAGGGCTGAGTATTAATATGGTGTCGCATAAATTGGCGATCAATCTAGATTTCAGTCCGGTAAAGTAGAAAACTTGGAAGTTTAAGCCGGAATTGAGTTTGAAGATCAAAGAGGAGATTACGAAGAAAATTGAGTTTAAAGTGGTGGAAGTGACGCAGTATCCGACTTGGTTAGCTAATGTTGTTCTGGTTTCCAAGAAAGATGGAAAGATCAGAATTTGTGTCGACTACAGAGACCTCAACAAAGCAAGCCCAAAAGATAATTTTCCATTGCCAAATATCCACATTCTCATTGATAAATGTTCTAAACATGAGATGCAGTCATTTGTAGATTGTTATGCAGGTTATCATCAGATCCTGATGGATGAAGAGGATGTAGAAAAGACAACTTTCATTACGCCTTGGGGTGTATATCATTATCGGGTGATGCCTCTTGGTCTCAAGAATGTCGGTGCCACTTATATGAGGGCTATGACGACCATCTTTCATGATATGATTCATAAGTGGATCGAGGTGTATGTAGATGACGTTATAATCAAATCCCGTGATATTTCAGATAACTTGACTCATTTAAGGAATTTCTTTGATTTTCTGCGTCAATACAATTTGAAGCTAAATCCCGCTAAATGTGCTTTTGGAGTGTCAACTGGCAAGTTATTGGGATTTATAGTCAGTAGGAGGGGCATAAAGCTTGAACCTTCCAAGATCAAGGGGATTCAAGAATTACCTCCTCCGAAGACCAAAAAAGAGGTGATGAGTTTTCTGGGAAGGTTGAACTACATTAGCCAGTTTATAGCTCAATCCACCGTGGTGTGTGAGCCCATCTTCAAGTTGCTGAAAAAAGACGCCATGACAAAGTGGACTGGAGAATGTCAAATTGCTTTTAATGCCATAAATAATTATTTGTCTGCCGATGTTGGTTCCTCCACGATAAGAGAGCCCATTGTTGCTATATATGTCTGTCTCGGATAACACATTCGGATGCGTGCTTCGCCAACATGATGAAATTTGGAAGAAGGAGCGAGCCATTTATTACTTGAGCAAGAAATTCACTCCATATGAGGCTCGTTACACTCTTTTGGAGAGAACATGTTGTGTTTTGACTTGGATCGCTCAGAAGTTGAGACATTATTTGTCTTCTTATACGACATACCTTATTTCCAGGATGGACCCGTTGAATATATTTTCCAGAAAGCAATGCCGACCGGGAAGTTGGCTAAATGGCAAATGCTTTTAAGTGAGTTTGATATTGTGTATGTGACTCAGAAGATGATAAAAGCGCACGCCTTGGTTGATCATCTTGCGGAGAATCCAGTTGATGAAGAGTATGAACCGCTCAAGACTTATTTTCCCGATGAAGAAGTAGCATTTGTGGGTGAAGATATTTCTGAAGCATACCCTGGTTGGAGAGTATTATTTGATGGGGAGGAAAACCACCAAGGGAAAGGCATGGGAGTGGTGTTAGTATCAGAATCCGGTCAACACTATCCTATGGCAGCTAAACTCTGATTTGATTGCACGAACAAGATGGCAGAATACGAAGCTTGTATCCTTGGTTTGAAGATGGCGATCGATATAAATGTTCATGAGCTCCTGGTTATTGGAGATTCAGATTTGTTGATTCATCAGGTTCAAGGAAAATGGGTCGTGAAGAACCCAAAGATCACACCGTACGTGCAGTATATACAAAAGTTATGCAAAAGATTCCGCAAGATCGAGTTCAGACACACTCCCAGGACACAAAATGAGTTGTCCGATGTTCTTGCCACCATTGCATCAATGATTAAACATCAAGATACAAGTTATATCGATCCAGTCGATACTGAGGTAAAAGAGCGGCCTGTCCATTGTTCACTTGTTGAAACGGAACAAGATGGTTTACCTTGGTATTTCGACATAAAGAGGTATTTGGAGACCGAAACTTAGCCCGAAAATGCAACGTTCAATCAGAAGAAATCAATACGTCGTATGGTTAACAATTTCTTCCAAGTGGGGAAATCCTTTATAAGAGGACTCCAAATCTAGGTCTTCTCAGATGGGTTGATGCTAATGAAGCTGCGAAGCTTCTGGAACAGATACACGCTGGAGTTTGTGGTACTCACATGAATGGGCTCACTTTGGCGAAGAAGATCCTTCGAGCTGGGTATTTTTGGATGACTATTGAGCATGACTATTGCAAGTTTGTGCAGAAATGTCATAAATGTCAAGTGCATGGTGGTTTGATTCGAGTGTCACCTCACGAACTCAATGCTATGAGTTCACCTTGGCCATTTGTAGGTTGGGGTATGGATGTCACCGGTCCAATAGAGCCAGCCGCTTTTAACGGACACAGATTTATTTTGGTTTCCATTGACTACTTCACCAAGTGGGTAGAAGCAGCTTCGTACAAATTGGTAACCAATAAAGTTGTAGCTGATTTTGTTCGCAATAATTTGATATGAAGGTTTGAGTACCAGAATCCATCATTACTGATAATAGAGACAATCTCAATAGTCATTTGATGAGAGAAATATGTGAACAATTCAGGATTACTCACCGAAACTCAACCGCTTATCGTCCCCAAATGAATGGAGCTGTAGAAGCCGCCAACAAGAACATAAAGAAGATTCTAAGGAAGATGATTGACAATCACAGAGGTTGGCACGAGATGTTGCCATATGCTTTTTTGGGTTATAGAACGACTGTCAGAACATCAATTGGAGCTACTCCATACTTGTTAGTACATGGAACAAAAGCAGTTATACTTGCCAAAGTTGAGATACCTTCACTAAGAATCACCCAAGAAGCTGAATTGAGTGATGCTGATTGGGTTCGCAAGCGGATTGATCAGTTAACATTGATTGATGAGAAGAGAATGGTGGTCGTTTTTCATGGTCAACTTTATCGACTGAGAATGATTCGTACTTTCCACAAGAAAGTAAGAGCCATGATATTTGAGATCTGCCAGTTAGTCCTTAAACGCATTTTCCTCATCAGGATGAGTACAAAGGGAAATTTGCACCAAATTGGCAAGGACCTTACATGGTTCGCAAAGTGTTATCTAGAGGTGCCTTGGTCCTGTCGGAGATGGATGACACTGAATGGCCGAAACCGATCAACTCAGATGCTGTCAAGAGATATTATGTGTGAAGTTTCAGTTTGTATTTTTGTCGTTCCCTTGTAATCATTTTATTTGCTTGTAATCGCTTTGTTTAGAATTTTATCCCTCTTGTAATGAACTACATCTGACCTGAATTCTCAAGTATGAGATACGTAGGCGGCCTATGTCAGCCTCGGTCACCACATTTTATCCTTTTTAATGTTCCCTTGTACTTGAACTACGTTTGACCTGAATTCTCGAGAACAGGATACGTAGGCGCCACAACGGTTCGGTCATATCTCCCACAAGATTTCTATTTTTCTTCATAATAGAGACTGGGACAGAATTTTTGAGAGGGACTAAAAAATTCTCAAGAAGATATCTCTAACAAAGTAAGGACTGAAGTTATTTTGAGATTTGCAACTAGGACAGAATTTTTGAGAAGATCTCAAAATTTCCGTAATTTGCTCACCAGCAGTTCGAGATACGCCAAGACAGTTAACTGGGACATAAATTTTTGAGGATGACCTCAAAAATTACGATAGGGTTCATCGGCGGTTTGGAACAACTTGGAATACTTCCCAACATATAATTGGATGGACTTCTAGGCACCAACTTCAAAGACGTTCGCTAAAGCTTGACGTGACATGACACCTGGAAGTGTCCTTTTCCAAAAAAAATACTTTTTGAAAATCTATTTTCATAAAAACTTTTCTGTCGTGTCTAAATTATTTCGCATAAAATGTTGTCTTATCTATCAATAAGCGGGGTATCAGAAAAATCAATCGGAGATAGTCAAACAAGGAGCAGACAACCGAAGAGATCGACACAGATCATTTCATTTTTAAACTAACAATTTTTTCTGTGGATGCAGATCTATAATTTGCCTCAAGATCAGCATATTCCTCCATTCAATGAATATGGAGAAGTCAAAAGGGAGAGGAGCTCCCCAAAATTAACAATTTTTTCTGTGGATGCAGGAAATATTTTATGTTTCTTATATCAAAGATTTGGGAATATGAATAACATCATTTCATTCAATTCCCAACAAGGTGAAGTCCATAATGAACATGCAATTATGTTCGGAGATGGAACAAATGAAAACCTTAAAGAGAGAAATATTATTGTTTTCCATCAACTAAAGATACCTAGTGGACTTTTATCTGCATCATATTATCAGACCTGATAATATTACTATCTGGAGAGTTATTTATGTCGTATTGTCGAATGAGATGATACCACTAGATGATACCACTACTCTGAGGGTCATTTTTATTTGTATTGTCGATTGAGACGGTACTGCCATCCAAAAGATACCCAGAAGATCACTTATGTTGTTCGGTAAAGCATTATCTTCATTCGGTATCAGGGAGGCATCATCAAAAGATTCATGCATCACGGGAAGAGATTCATGTATCGCAGGAAGAGATTCATGCCATGCAAGAGAAATGTCATGTATCACGGGAAAAAGGATTCATACATCGCGGAAAAGAGAGTCATGCATTGCAAAAGAAGACTCATGCATCGCGAAAAGAGGTTCATGCAATGCGAAAAGAGGCTCATGCATCGCGAAAATAAGATTCATGAATCGCAAAAAGAGATTCATGCATCGCGAAAAAAGGTTCATGCATAGAGAAAAGAAGAATCATGCATCGCGAAAAGAGATTCATAAATCGAGAGAAAATTCATGCATTGCGGGAAGATTCACGCATTGCAAGAGAGATTCATGCAACGCGGAAAAAAAGGTCATGCATCGCGGGAAAGAAGGGCATGCATTGCGGGAAGGAAAGTCATTCATCGTGGGAAAATAATTCATGCATCGCGGGATAAGTCATGCATCGCCGAGAAAGGACTTATGCATCGCGAAGAAAGCTCGTGCATCGGGAGAAAGTTATCATTATTATTTCCATTGCAAGGACAACATCAAAAGAATCATCAACAATGACATCAAGAGAACTATCAACATATTACATCAGCCTATTTTATTACTTCGGCATCAAAACAAGAGTACATTGAAGATTATATTACAAATATTTATTACAAGCTTTATTTGCTTTACGTCAAACTGGAGGAAACTGACGTCAAATGTTCAAGGAGAGCAATCAAATGTCAACATAGTAAAAGACAATATCTCCCCATTTGAATTACATTTTATGTTGATGAGTTTTATCTCAGTCTTTGTCGAGAGCATCCAAGAGGATGCATTCTCAAAGCAAACCACAGGTGCGGACGACATAAAAGAGGATGCAGCACAACGTGGAACTTTTTCTTAGCAACGAACTGGAACATAGTCCAAAGAGAGGTACCAAACTCTTAGGACGCGAGCTGAGGAGCGACTTCCACCACAATCAAACCACAACCCTATCTGAAGGCATGTCGGTTTTCTTTAAGTTTATCAGTTTTAGTTTTGCATCCGAAAGTTTTGGTTTCCACCTGAGGCATATTTCCAATCCAAATGACAATTCACCAAGAGCTTCGGAAATTATGTTCATGCAAATTCTTAATTATTGGTGTGAAGCATGCCACATTCATGGCTGAGAGGTTGAGAGCCTCTTTTTCATACTCGACTTACTTTGTCGCTTTTCCAGAACCAAAAGGTTATCTTGCATAACAGATTTCCTTTTCAATCGATCGAGTCGAACTACAAGCAGCCTAATTCCTTGAGTTGAGGGAAATGTAGGCAGAATCGATGTTGAAACTTGGTTGTATTCCAACATTCACTCTTAAATCTTATTCTCAAGCATTCCTATCCCTTCATAATTCAGTATAGGGATGACTTTTGAATTTTTTCAAAATCGTGCATCAAATCAAGCGTATCGAACTACAAGTGGCCTAAATTCTCATATAGCCTGAGATATGTAGAAAACCCACTTCCAGGGTTTGACCATAATCCCTAAAGTCCGTACCAAAATCCCTTTTTCAGAAAAAATTAAGATGTGTTCAGTCAAAATTGGATTTGTCAATTTCATTTTCCTCGAATTTTTTGCATCAATCCGAGCAAAACGAGGGACAGTTGTTGACACCTCATTTTGACCCTCCCTGATAAGAATTAACTTTTGAGCTTCTTAATTTTCAATGATTTGGAATAATTAGTTTTACAAAAGTTCAAAAAAAAATTAAGTTTTGAAGAAATTTTAGTCATTCTTGAAAGGAAGAGGTACTTGGTTCCAATTCGAGTGTCATTATTTCATCTCTTTTACCATCGTTTCCCCCAAGTTCCTTTGGATTCGAGATTTTACCCAGGTTTCTGGTCAGTCATTCGCGTCGAGTTTTGTGGTGGAGAAATTGCGGTCATCGGCTCATCCCGTCCTTGTTTGTTGCTCATAACGAGGCAAACCATTCCTAACCCTTTAATTCAATTTGCTTTCAGTAGCGTTTGACAATGATGTGAGCTTTGATCGATTTTTTTTAAAATGCTCTTGTGTGATGTGTTCAGTGCGAGTTATCCCTTTCACCTTATTTTTCTGAAATGATAGTGAAGGTTTTGTTTTCAAATGATTTAGTGTTTATTATTAAAATCATCTCTCTGTTTGCATTGTTCTGAATTCGTGATCATTGCGCTCGCCCTAAATCTTAGCTTGTTTGCACTGAATAGTTATGATACTATTCTGTTTTTATTTTTGATGAAAGAGTGTTCATGTCTTTCGTTATGTACTTAGAAAGCATCAAAATGCATTACGCTATTGTACATTTGGTTTCTTATGAATATAAGTTGATCTTTGGTGTTTGTGTTGTTTTAAAAACGTGTTTATGAATTTGTCCATATCTAGCTTTTGAAGGGATTTTTCTTTTGCTTGTCCTCTGATTCATTTGTTGTTCGATGTTTCGGTTTAGAATGCAACTGGGAACATATCAGTCTTCTTTTATTTCTAGATATAGTCTAGTTTATTTTGATGTTGTTAAATGGGCGAAAATCTGGAAATTTCGGTCATTATCGCAGTCATCTTCCACCTTCGTATCCCTTTTGTGGTAGAATGTTTTCTTTACAATATGTGACTCTCTATAGCTCCATGTGAATGTGAATTTCATTTTGGCTTAAGTTAACAATGTGCTCTTAGTATCTCTCTCTATGTGTTCAGTAAGTTGATCATTATTTATTTTTGTATATTGTTCTTGATTGATTACTTGGTACCTTACTGTAAAGAGTTTATTTGACCAAATCACTATCTTACTTGTTGGTTAGTATCGGTTCCAAGTAGTGAATGTTGTCCACTAGCTTGTCTTGCGAAATACTCTTAAATTTGTTTGATCCGGTTGTCAATAGTATGTTGAGTTGTTAATTGAAATCCTGGTTCCATCATTAAAATATGTATGGGTGTTGATCTCTATATAACACCGCTCATTTCTGCTTCAAATGTATTACATGTACTGCTTGCATTATGTGTCTGATAAATTATTTAAATGTTGAATATATTTTTCTATCATGATTTATCTGTCCTAGTTCATGTTTTGTTATTATCATCATGCTAGTGTGTAATGTCAGGGTTCTAAAATTGGTTAGAATGGTCTGATTTATTCTCGTTTGGGTCATTGCCTCGCCTATTTTTATTTTGCATTCTAGAGATGAAGAGTGATCTAAATCCATTAGTTTAATGCTACATTTGTTTGTGAGTACCATGCATACTTCTGTTAGACAAATTCTTTGGATATTCTAATAGATTTGTCCACATTCAACTTGTCTGATGTGTGATTCTTATCCGTTGCATTTTTTCTGTTTATTTTGATTCACTTTCATTGGAGATAATTTGAGATTTACGGCTATTGCAAAAATAGATGTTGATGTGTTTTTCTTTTATCTTCTTTGCATGAAATCTTTCTGAGTCCTCACGGACTCAACCTTTGCATTCCAAAGGGGGCCACGAAGGCCCCCCAAAAATCCTTTATCGAGTTAGCCAACCATAGAAATTGAAGAACAGGTCCCCAAAAATTGACGAACAGGAATTAGAGTTGATTCAGGATTGTATACACCTAGTGTATACGGAAATCAAGAAGTGGGCCTAAAGGCCCCCAAAATTCCAGAAGTTGTATTTTGTTACCTTTGGGCCTAAGC